GAGTCTGGAGATCTTTCTCTTTGTGGAATACTCATGTCAGTACCATTGTGTGGATTCTTTCTACTGGGCAGCCTGCTCAGGGGTTTCGGCAAGGTCTGCTGTTTTCCTTAATCAGCTCTTTTCTCTACTGCCAGGGATCTTGCCCTTTGAAGTTTCTTCCTCTCTTGAGTAACTGCCTCTCTATATGTGTGGCTTGTGGGGGCAAGACTTAAATCTGGGGCCTCTTTTGATTCACTCCGGCACCTTGTTCATAACTTTCAAAGGCATTGCCACAATGTTGTAGTTAACATCATTTTACCACCTTAACGCCTCATCATTTGTGACTCTGTCAATTGAGTTGGAGTGGGGAGAGGGGGAAAGAAGGTAACAGGGAGGGAGGGAGCTCGCATATTCTCTTACCTTACAACATGAAAAGCAGAGTTGCTTACTAGATAAAATTGATCTTGGGATCAGGAGTTACGAGGACCTGGATTCTGATGGTGTCTCTGACATTCACTACCTGTGTGATTCTAGGCAAGCTAACTTACTTCTGTGAGACATATGTTTCCTCACCTGTAAAATGGTGCCTCTTTAGTACCTGCCTCATATGGTCAAGGCTCAAATGAACCAATCTATGTCAAGTTCTTTGCAGACTTTAAATCACTATATTAATACATTTATTAATATGAAAATGTGAGTCACTCCTTCTACTCCCACTTCCTAGCCCTTCCCATCTGCTCTGGCCTGTCTTCCTATGTGTTCATCTAATCTTTGGATTGATACCTCATGGCTATCACTAAGAGCCAGCTCCCTCTTTCTTCTCTGGATGCCTTCCCTGGCTGTGTGGTGACAGATATCTGGCCCTTTGCATTCTCACCAATTCATGAATCACTCCTGCTAACTCATCCCCTTTCCTAGGGGCCATCACATTTGTACCACCTTGTCTTCAGGTCAGTGACCATCACTCAACTATCATCTTGGACACCCAGTACATAAGGCAAAATCATTTTTAATTTACATGTCACAGTAAAGCTGTTAGCTCTTCAGAAATATAGCCACAAGTCAACAGGAAGCCACAATGCTGGCAGAAAGCATCACATTCTGATCTCTCTTCTGCCAGGACCTTACCTGCAAAATTAGCTGCCAGTTATCCTGTCTCCAGCTTGTTTGTACAGTGCTGTTTGTATGTCGCGGCCTCTACTGGACTGTGAGCTCCTTGAGAGCAGGGACTGGCTTTGGCCTTTCTCGGATCCCTAGCACATATCAAAAGGCTTATTAACCAGTTGGCTACGTGGACATTCTCAGGCTCAGTCCCTAGCCAGGGCATTTGTGAGACTATTTTAGGGGAATCTCAAAATACTATTTTGATGGCTGACTGGTGAAGGGCAGCAGAACTTGTCTTTATAGAATGCTTTCCTAAATATTCTGTTTGCATTGTCCTTGGCAGAAACATGGGTAGGGGAGGGGAGAGAAAGTGGGAGGAGAAGGGAAAAAAAGGAGGGGGAAGAAAAGTAGGAGGAAGAAGAAGAGGAGGAGGAAAGGTTCTTCTCAAATCCCATCCTGATTCTCTCTCTCTCTCTCTCTCTCTCTCTCTCTCTCTCTCTCTCTCTCTCTCTCTCTCTCTCTCTCTCTCTCTCTCTCTCTCTCTTCTCTGTCTCTCTCTCTCTCTCTCTCTCTCCCTCCTCTCTCTCTCTCTCTCTGTCTCTCTCTCTCTCTCCTCTCTCTCTCTCTCCTCTCTTCTGTCTCTCTCTCTCTCTCTCTCCTCTCTCTCGCTCTCTCTCTCTCTCTCTCTCTTCTCTCTCTCTCTCTCTCTCTCTCTCTCCCCCCCCCCAATTTTTGACTATTTTCAAAATCCTTCCCCAGACTCACTGGTGCCAATATACTTCTATTCAACGTGGAGAGTGGATGGGGAGGAAGGGGAGGTAGGAATAAGTATTTGTATTTATACAACATCTATAACTAGACTATTATGTGGCAGGCACTATGTTTGTGCTTTTACAAATATCATCTCTTTTGATCCTCACAATGTAATTATTATCCTCGTACAGTTGAGGAAACCAAGGCAAACAGAGCTGAAGTGACTTAACCAAAATCATACAGTTAGTAATGTTTGAGGTGGTGTTTGAATTTAGGTTTTCCTTATTGCAGGCCCAGTTGCCTCTAAAACAGGCTCATGGATCTAGAGAACTTACCTAGGGCCAGGTATCCTGCACTCACAGTATAAATTTAATTAACTTTTTCAAACACTTCATCTTTTTTCAAAATGTTTCATTTGACATCCAAATTATCAAGACCAAAATGAAAGGTTCTGAGTTCAGACTGAAACCAACACCAAGAGTAAAAGTTGGGAAGACTCTTGAAACTGTGCTTCTGTCTCTCATATTTCAACCCAGAATATCAAAATACAGATACTTGGAGGGGGGAAAAGTTGTTTGTTTGTTTTTTTTCCAGTTATACTCCAGGCTTTTTCCTGGATAGTAAAAAAATGATTAATAAAGTAGCCAGGTTTTCCCATCCTAGTGCCAAAGCTCAGACTGACATTAAACTGACCTGAGATAAGCCTGTTCTGGTCTCCTGAAGATCGAATGATTTCAGGCATTGAAGGACTCTCCCATCACTGTAGATACTGAAACAAGGCCTACCTTATGTTCCAGCAACAAGGAAAAAGTCACTTTCAGCCAAGGGAAGCCACTGACAGGGAGGCTACTGGACCAGGTATTTATTTTTCCTCAAAGAGTAATTAGCTGGTGAAAGCCACAAGAAGACAAAGATACCAAGAGTGAAGACTTACAGGCCAGAGAAGTCAGTTCATCTAAAATGGATCCTAAGATATTACTGGCATCTCCACCCTATTTCATCCAGAAACTCCTGTTCAAATTAGTAGCTTCAAAAAACAGGAATTGAAGTGGTGAGCTTTCCATACAGACACTGGCTGTTTCAACAAGTACATAAATCCACAATTTTCATGAAAGAGCTTCTTAAAACTGAGTTGACTCACCAGACCACACCTAAAGGAGTCCTCCCACATAGGTGACTGATGGGGCTCATAACCATATTTAACTCATTGCCTCCTTTTTTTTTTGTCTGTTTGTTCCAAATTTATGATTTCATTGGTATATAAGAAGCCCTGTTTGAAAATTCCCTCCATCAGCGCAGATTCAGGAACTTTTCGGACATTTACAATCTTAAAGAATTACTTGGGAGCATAGAGAGAATAGGGGACTTGGGTCGGAGTCAGTGTGTGTTAGAAGCTGGGCTTGCTGAAGCCAAGATTGGCCCGTATGTTCCTCATGCCATACCGTCTCTCACTAGAATACTAAAATAGGATAGATCTTCCAGAAAAAAAAACCTCTCTCACCCTTGTGGTTTCCCTCCCTTCCTCTTCCCCGCCCCCAGGAATAAGAGTCAGCGACTTACGTCTACTTTACCTTCCTACTCTGAATTGCATGAAAGCAGAGGTGAAAGCCTGCTCACCCCCCAGGGGGCAAGCTGACCTCCAGAGCCTTAAGCAGCTTGTTTATAGAACCAAAGGAAAACACATTTAGGACAAGTCCTCCCAGTTATTTATTTATTTATTTGAGATGCAGCACTAATACGCTTTACTTTTTCTGGACTCAAGAACTAAAAATGTATCTGGAAAGTATTATTGACCAGTCAGCAGGAGGGCAGCTCCCCTACCTCGGGATTTCTTTGGGAACCGAGCCCCACCCTCCGCTGAGCAGCTATTTTGAGAGAACACAGCAAGCCTTTCTGTTGTCAGGTACTCACAATCTCTTCTCTTTGGTGTTAACTGTTTTTCCCAGGATTCCCACAAAATCAAGCTTCCATTTAAAAGAAAGCAGATCATTTCCACTTAAGGTTTCCCTCAGACAATCACGTCATAGATTCAACTTAGAAGAAAGCCTGACTCAGAGAAGTCCTAGCCATGTTCCAGGTGTTCCCCCCACCCCACCCCACTTGTCTGGCACTGGCTTATTCCTGCCTAACCCTGTGCAGTCGCTATCTTGGACACATTAAGAATGAATGAAACTTTCTACCTGAGCCGCGCCTGAGCTTTCATTTAATCATTTCAAAAACGAACTCATCCTTTTTCTAACCTCCACCAAGAAAGCTCTAAATCCTTAGTAGGGCCGGCAGCTCCAAAGGGGCTCTCAGTTTCCAGAGTTCACATTTGAGCGGTGAAGCAGTGAAGTATGGAAGCATCTGAAGTAGATTTTTCAGCCCACGACTCCAGCAGCTGGGGAATAACTGCGCAGCTGACAGCCTCAGCATTGCCCCTTCTCCACAGAGCAGCTGCTGTATGAGAAAAGTTTCTCTTAGCAACATGGGAAAGGAGAGGGAAGAGAAGAGCAAGGGAACTCTGTACCTCAGCCTCTAATCTAGCGGAACTTCGATTTCTAACAGCCACCAAGAACTCTGATCAAATTCAATTTAGCGCGGCTCCCCAGGTCTGCAAGCTGGCAGACGTTCAAGGATTAGGGAACAAACACTATGGTGATGTGGCTGTAGGCTGTAGGCAGCTCTTGTCAGGTCCCATTAAAAAGAAACAAACAAAACAGAGAGCTCAGCTCTGCACCTAAAAGATACAAGTCAGCGCCGCCCTTTCCTTTCTCTCTCATTTGGTAAGCAAATAGATGAGAATGTTCAAAGGACTCTCTTAAAACTGGTCAAACACAAAGAAGGAAAATTCCTTAATTTTGATGTCCCTTGAGTCACCACCTAATTCAACACACCTCTTCAAGGTTCGAATCTTTCCTAGTGGAGGAAAGAATTGGTGACAGTTTGTTTCTGAGCCGTTCTCTAAAAGGGCACCGTTGTGAGGACCTTGTGTTGAAGGTCTTGGGGAAGGTGTAAGAAGGAAGCTGGGGGGGTCCCCAAAAAGAAATGAGGGGAATGGGGAAAAGTAGGAACATCAGGATGGAAGGAGGGAGGCAGCCTAGGTGCCCCCCAGCAAAAGAGGAAGGAAAGTGAAGGGGAGATAGAAAAGAGAAGGGCAGGGAGCGCGCCGTCCGGGTAGGTACCTGGCTGTAGGCCTGCTGCAGGTAGCTGTAGGGCATCCTCTTCTGGAAGTCTAGGCTCACGTCCTCTGGGCTGCGGCTCAGGACTCGTGCGCTGGCGGCAGCGCAGTGCTCCCCGCACCCACTGTCCTCGTCCGCCCGCTCGCAGCGGCGCACGCAACGAGCCCGCTCCAGTAGGGCGCGCAAGAAGCGCAGCTCCCAGGCCGGGCCGCCGCCGCGCGCTGTCCTCAGGGGCGCCCTGGCCCCGCACTCGAGGCGGCAGCGCAGCCTCTCCTCCCGCAGCCTGCGGCGGCTGCTCAGCGCCTGTTCCAGGTAGCGCACTGCGGCCTGAAAGTCCCCGGCCGAGAATGCCTCGACGCCGCGGTTGTAGAGCATCTCGAAGGGCTGCTGGGGGCCCTGACCGCGTTCGTGGCCCCGCGCCGCCCGCGCTGAGCCCCCCAGCAGTAACAGCAGCAGCAGCAGGCTGAGCTGCGTCCTGCGTCAGCAGCATTGGCCGCAGCAGCAGCCCGGCGCCCAGCAGCCGAGCCCAAGGGCTCCCGCAGCTCCCCAAGCCGCAGCCTCCTTGACGCCGCATTCTCCAGCTCGGGAGACCCGGGGGCTCCTTTACACCAGCCCTGGGAGCGGTCCGCTCCGGGCTTGGAGCTACCATGGCACGCACTCAGCGACGGCTCCCGCTCCCCTCCGGGCTGAGCCTGCAGCTGTCTGGGACTCCCTGGCTTCTTCTGGACTGACGGACCGACTGATGGAGAGAGCCCCACGTGGGCGGCCGGCGAGAGGCCGCCTCCCGATGCCGGAGCAGGGAGAGAGAGAGAGACAGACAGAGCGGGAGGGAGGGAGATTGAGACGGAGAGGAAGACGAAGAAAGGAACAGAAGAAGAGAGAGAAGGAGGGAGACTGACAGTGACAGAGAGACAAAGAAATAGAGACGAGAGGGGCGGGGTTTAGGGGAAGAGGTGGTTTCTGTCGGAGACCCCGAGGACGTTTATACACCCCTCTGGCCCCCGAGGCTGCTGCACCCTGTTCCTCCTCCTTCTCAGCTGCTGCGGCCGGGGCTGGGCCCGAAGTTGGGGCTGGAACCGACAATACAGGCAGGAATCGCCTCAGGCTCTCAGCTCAGCCCCGCGCTGATTCCGCCCACCCCCTCGCGCGAGCTCTGCTCTCGGGAGCGGGGTTCTCCGCTGCGCTGCCAGGCAGACAGGACAGGACCCTCTCGCCTCCTCTCCAGTTCCCAGCTTCGAGCCCGATTCCGCCGGGATTTCTGGGTAGGGTTTTGCCCTGAGCCCTGAATTTGTGCCAGCAATGTAAGGACTGGCCTCTCCGACGTCGGTCTCTTCTCCCCGTTCAGTAATTGTCCTGGCCCCCTTTGCTGTCCATTAGCACGCTTGACACCTCCTCCCCACCTCCCAATTCAAAGTCTTACTCCGCAAGCCCGGGATCCTTGCGGTGGAAACTCAGTTGCTCTAAAGTGAGAATGCCCTGAATTGGAAATGGGAGAATTATAGACTGTGGAGCAAGAGCGAGAAGGGGTGCTGGAATCCATAGAGCCCAAGCCCTGCTGTCTCTATTTCACAAAGGAGGAAACAAGGCACAGAGAGTGAAGGGACTTGTGACTTGTCCAGGGTCACCCACCTAACTAGTATCTAGGGCAAGATTTAAACCTTGCTTGTCCTGACTCAAAATTGACCTGAGTTCCAATCCCACATTAGCACCTGTGTTCTGTCAGATGAGGGAGTCCTTGAACTTTTCTGGGCTTCTTTCCTGTTCTCTAAAACAAGAGGAGTGGATTTTGCTGTTGTTCATTTTCAGTCATGTCCGACTCTCCTTGACCCCGTTTGGGGTTTTCTGGGGAAGGTACTGGAGTGGCCATCTGACATCAAGGAGTTATTCCGGCCCAGACCGGATTTCCTAACTGCTTTTCTTGGTACAATCCATCCTTCAAGCCTAGAGAAAGAAGTCATTTTACTTAGGTGCATTTTCTGATCACTACAGTTTAGGAAGATGTCATGTATCACTCTGTTGATCATGGGCACCTCATTAAGTCGTAGCCACTTAAAAAATATATCTCAGTATAAGGGGAAACTTTAAACAATCAAAACAGTATAGAAGTCAAATGAGATGACCAAGGAATGCTGAGGTCCCCTACATCTCTGGAAGTCTCCTCATTCATGTTCAGAGTTCTGCTTGGGGAGAAAAGAAATGTAGGTGGAGCATGACAGCAGTCCAAGTATTTAAACATTCATCACCTTAAATCAATTAAAAAGCAAACAAGCATTTCTTAAATTTGTCTGAGAACTGTGGTAAACATTGGATATACAAAGAAAATGGTGTAATTGTCCCTGTCATCCAGGAGCTTACAGTCTAATGGGGGAGAAAATGAGATGATGTGTACACACTTGATTTTATACAGAAGATTCTATACAGAAGATAAGACACATAGACCCAGGAGTCTTTTGGGTAGAGATAATGACTCTATCCATGGGTTCCCATGAGTTTCCCAAGAGAAAGGGTAGACCTAGGGGAGATACTTTGAGAAAATCTACAATAAGTTGGAGTGAAACCAGAGAGCAAAGGAGGTGAAGAAGAAGCAGTTGATACAGTAGAAAGGCAGCCCAAGGAGAGTAATGTCACAAAAGGCCAGAGAAGGAAAACTACTGAGGAAACGTTGGTCTGAAGTATCAATGGAGCACAGAAGTCAAGGACGATGCAAAAAGGCTAACAGTTTGGCAGGTTGGGGATGACTGGTCTCTTTGGAAGGAGCAATTTCAGAAGACTGATGCAATTGGAAGTCATTTCAGTAGATTAAGAAGCGAGAGAAAGGAGGAAGTAGATACCTTTGTTTCCTCACATGGAGTTTAGTTAAAGGGAATTAGGAAGAGCGAGAGTGGGAGATTTTACTGAGGAATTTTGGAGGATGGAGGATACTTTGGCATGTTTTAAGACATGGGAAGGAACCACTAGATAGCACAAGGGTGAAGATTAGAAATGGGGGAGGTGTATGTGTGTGTGTGTGTGTGTGTGTGTGTGTGTGTGTATGATGGGACAATATGTTGAATGAGTAAGGGGATCTAGTCAATTGTGCTGAAGAATTACATTCATTCTCTTCATTCCCTATGAGCAAAGGCAGAAGTCACAAAGAGGCAAATTTTAAATTGATTCGGGTTGGGGGAAGGAGAAAGTTTGCTAACAATCAGAGCTGTTCACAAGTATCTTTGGGAGATGGTGGCTTTCCCATTTCTGGAAGACTTCAAGCAAAAGCTGAATGACCATTTGTCAGAGAGAATTTCTTCATGCACAGGTTGGATGAGATGACTTGGGATGCAGCCTCCAAATCTGAGTCTCCAAGTCTCTCTGTATTTTCTTTTCTTTTTTTTTTTTTAATAATTAATTTATTTATTTTTAGTTTTCAACATTCACTTCCATAAGATTTTGAGTTTTAAATTTTCTTCCCCTCCCCCTTTTATCCCCAAGATGGCATGCAATCTGATACAGGCTCTACTTATACATTCATATTAAACATATTTTCACATTAATAAAGATGTAAAGAGCAACTAGAATTAATTAATTAACATAATTAATTAATTAATTAAAGGAACCACGAGAAAGAAGAAACAAAGCAACAAAAGAAAAGGAGAGCAAATAGTATGCTTCCATCTGCATTCAGACGCCATACTTTTTGTTTTTGTTTTGTTTTGCATATGAACAGCATGTTCCATTGTAAGTCTTTTGGACTTGTCTTAGATGCTTGTATTACTGAGAAAAGCTAAGTCTATCAAAGTCAGTCATGTGGCTGTTGCTGTGTACAATATTGTCCTGTTTCTGCTAATTTCACTCTGCATCAGTTCATGTAAGTCTTTCCAGATTTTTCTGAAGTCTGCCTGCTTATCCTATCTTATAGCACAATAGTATTCCATCATGTTAATATACCACAACTTGTTCAGCCATCCCCCAACTGATGGACATCCCCCCCATTCTCTAATTCTCTGTCATCACAGAAAGAGCTATTATAAACATTTTTGTACATGTGGGGTCTTTTCCCATTTCTATGATCTCTTTGGGATACAGTCCTAGAAGTGCTATTGCTGGGTCAAAGGGTATGCACATTTTGTTCTCCAAATTGTTTTCCAAAATGGTTGGATCATTTCACAACTCCACCAACAATGCATTAGTGTTCCAATTTTCCTACATCTTCTCCAACATTCACCATTTTCCTGTTTTGTCATGTTAGCCAATCTGATAGGTGTGGTGTGGCACCTCAGAGTTGTTTTGATTTGAATTTCTCTAATCAATAATGATTTAGAGCATTTTTTTTTCCATATGACTATAGACAGCTTTAATTTCCTCCTCTGAAAACTGCCTGTTCATATCCTTTGACCATTTATCAATTGGGGAATGACTTGTAGTCATATAAATTTGGCTCAGTTCTCTATATATTTTAGAAATGAAACTTTTATCAGAGACATTAGTCATAAAAAATGTTTCCCAGCTTTCTGCTTCCCTTCTAATCTTGTTTGCATTGGCTTTGTTTGTGCAAAAACTTTTCAATTTAATATACTCAAAATCACCCATTTTGCATTTCATCATGTTCTCTATCTCTTGTTTTGTCATAAATTCTTCCCTTCTCCATAGATCTGACAAGTGAACTATTCCATGCTCTCCTAGTTTGCTTACAGTATCAGCTTTGGCATCTAAATCCTGTACCCATTTTGACTTTATCTTGGTATAGGGTGTAAGATGTTGGTCTATGCCTAATTTCTGCCACAGTATTTTTCAGTTTTCTCGGCAATTTTTGTGTTAAATAAATTTGTTAAGTGTTAAACTCACTGTTTCACAAAGCTAGAATCTTTGGGTTTATCAAATGATAGATTACTGCAGTCACTGACTACTGTGTCCTGCACATTTAACCTACTCCACTGATCCACCTCCCTCTATCTTAGCCAGCACCAAGGAGTTTTGATGATTGCTGCTTTATAGTACACTTTAAGATCTGGCACAGCTAGGCCACCTTCCCTTGCCTTTCTTTTCATTAATCCTTTTGAAATTCTGGACCTTTTGTTCTTCAAGATGAATTTTGTTATTGTTTTTTTCTAGCTCTATAAAGTTATTTTTTGGTTGTTTTACTGGTATGGCACTGAACAAGCAATTCATTTTAGATACTCTGTGTGTTTCCTGATTTCAGTAAGCTGTCCTTAATGGAGCTGGAGATAAAGAGCTGGTTTGAGGGTCATCAGTATAGAGATGATTGTGAAAGTTGTAGGAGTAGACATGAAAGGACAGCAGAGGGAAAGTCAGCTGGGTATAATAATCATGCTTATAATAGCTGACATTCATGGAACCAGTGAAGGTTTGCATTTTCTTTTACAAATATCTCATTCTAGCCTTGCAGCTCCCCTAGGAAGCAATTAATATTATCCACATTTGGTGTTGTTCAGTTGTTTCAGTCATGTCCAAGTCTTCCTGACCCCATTTGGGGTTTCCTTCACAAAGATGATTCCGTAGTTTTCCATTTCCTTCTCTAGCTAATTTTACAGATGAGGAAACTGAGGCAAATGAAGTTAAGTGACAGGTTCACACAGTAATAAGCATCTAAGGCTAGATTTGACCTCAGGTCTTCCTGATTCCAGATCTGGCTGACCATTAGCCCATTTACAGAGGTGGAAACTGGAGGCAGACAGTGGTTAGGTGACTTGCCCAGAGAAACAAAAATACTAAGGCTTTGAAGCTGAACTTTTATCTGGAGTCAGATCTTCCTGATTTCAGGCCCAGTTCTCTATCCATTATGCCACCGAGCTGCCTTACCATGATATATGGAATATAATATAGAGGGTCAGGCTCTGGTACTGAATTGAAGAACATCTGCAGTTGTCTCACTTCTTACATTTATAGAGTTTGTGACCCTGGGCAAGCTTTGTAATCTTCAATGCCCCAGGCAGCCTTCTAAAATTGTAAGATGCTGAGTAAGTACAGAGCTGCATCAGTAAAGGAAGTTTCTCCTCTGGGATCTGCCTATGGCATGAAATAAAAAGTCTGGACTAGAAAAAGAGAACAGAAGATGTAACTTTGGCAGTCTCCCTCACCTCTTAAGTCACAGGGACAAATAGGAGGGTGTTGGAAAAGTGATATGAAGGAGAAGCTAGGGCTCAGAGGAAACCCGGAGAGTGGCCTCTGTTTTCCTGAGAAGGGAGAGAGAATGGAGAAAAAGTCGGGACCAACAATGTTCCATTGTGGCTACTTCATGTGTTATCGTAATCAGTCAGTCGACAAGCATTTATGTGCTAGGGGCTGGAGAAACAGACGAAAAAATGAAACTGTCTGCCAACTACTGTGGGAGATGACGAGAATATTATGAATGCATCCTGAGTAGATACAAGAGAGTTTTCAGGAGGCGTCAGCATCTGGTGAAAGAGGAAAGGTTTAATGCAGAAGTTAGCACAGGAAGTCTGCATGGAAGGCAGAGGTGAGGAAGTCCAGCACAGAAGTCAGGGGAAGAGGCAGCATTAGCATCAAAGGCTGTCACTACGTTCTCATTTTTTTTTACAATTTTAAACATATTTTAGACAATTGGGCTTAAGTGATTTGCTCGGGATCACAAGTGTCAAGTGTTTGGTCTGAGGCCGGATTTGAACTCAGGTACTCCTGACTTCCGGGCTGGTGCTCTATCTACTGCATCACCTAGTTGCCCCTCTCACTGTATTCTCAACTGCTAGAAATAAAACCGTCTAGCTAAAGTGAGTCATTCTCAGTACCTCCTTTGTCCAGCTGGGGGGCTTGCCTGAAATCATTCTCTGTGAATGCTGGTAGCCTGATTACAGGCAGAAGAGCTACTTGCATATCCTCATGCTAGCACTAATGTTGCAGAAATGTGAGTTCCAGCTGGAATGCTGGGTTGTCTTCTTTTAGATTTGCAGGCTATTAGAACAGTCTGGAACTTTAGAAGTCACTTAGTTCAATTAAAGATTGAGTACAGAAAGTGTGGAAGAGACTGGTGCTGGCAGTCTGTTCCCCTCATTTTCCAGGAAATTGGGGCCCAGAGAAATGCAGCAATTTGCTCAAGATCACACAGCAAGAAACTGGGAATCTCACCCAGTTTTTCTCCCTCTGGGGCTAATATTTTAATATTTTAAAGGCCCACTTCATAGAACTGTATGGTCCTCATGGGAACGAATCCTATTTCCTCAGGACTTTTGCCATAAGCATCAATCTAGGAACAGGAAAATTCAGAGCTGACTGCCAAACTTCCAGACATCAGCATCACTCTTTTCTGCTTTTCATTAATAAACAATTTCCCAGCCAAGGGGATGTGCTTTGCTTCCTGACATGGTCTTCTCCTTCCCAGCCTGTACCCCAGCCTGCCTTCCTGCATCATTTTTGTGGCCTGCCCACTCCTGAGACCAGTTTATGCCCAGCTGGCCAGCCACAAGCTCGGTGAGCAGAGAAGCCAAGGCACCAGGTCAGTACCACAAACACCATCCACCATGCATTTCTCTCCCTGGGCCATCTCTTCTTCTGTGTTTGACTACCACAAGGCAGGAAGAGCTGCCCAGTCCTCACTCACTGGGCCTTCATCTTGCTCCATGGTTTCCCTTTAGCTGGGAAGCCCTTGCCAGTAATCTCCGTGAGATGTTCAACACTCACTCCTGTTCTTTTTCCAACTAGGCCTAGCTCATTTGGATCATCTCATAGGTGGACAAGCTCCAGGGCATGTCTCTGACCATTTTCACAGGGTTGTGGAATCTCTAAGAGGGTTCATAATTACCACTGCAGTCAGCCACTAGGCTCCTTCCCTGTCTTACAGATAAAGATAATTGGGCATAATAATTTTGCCAAAGTTTGCTCAGGAGGTTAGACTTAGAACCCCTTTTTAATTGAAGTAGAAGTATTTTAATTGAAGTATATGCAGTAGATTAAAATTCTTCCTTTCCTTCCAATGTTGTCCAGCCAAGGGAGTATGCCTTGCCTTGTTCTCCTTGGTGTTTTGTGAAGCAGCCCAGGGCAATACGAATAACCCACCTAGCAACCATGGGGGAATTTTGAGAAAATAAAAGAGAATTGAAAAGAGAGTGGATGGCCTCTTACTCCTGGGTCTAGCATTTTGATGGAAGTGAGAAGCACAAGGTATATGCACAGAGAAAGACAGGCCATCAAAATGTAAATGAGCTGGGCTGAGATCCACCTTTCTAGGTACAAGGCATGGTTTTCCATTTTAGGTCTATGCGAAGTCTAGAATTTAAGATCACAGCATAAGAGAAGTTTCTAGATATTAAAACATCTAGAGATTTGAAATGCTTTCACAAAAGAATGATGGAATCAGCGGATAGAGTTGTTCCCAAGGGGGAAAAAAAAAAGGAATCACCACAATCATCTGGGAGATGAGGAGAATTATGGAGATGAGGTAATTCAGGTCAATGAAAGTAACCCAAATGAGTCATAGAAGAGGGGCAAAGACATGGAAGAATGTATGCCCCTGCTGGAACCAGTACCCTAAGTAATGAAGATTACACAACCTCTCAGGGAACGGTCACTCACGTCATTGGGAACTATTGAACTGTGAGCTTTGATAGGATTTCTATGGCTCCCTTAACTGCTAAATAAGTATGTTCATGTTTGGGGCCTCATCAGCCTCTGTGCTTGTAAGGTGGGCTGGAGAGTAAACCACTAGTATCTTACTAGGTAATAAAAATAAGGCAGAAACGTGGTGCCAGGGAAGAAGACTGGATTTGCAAAGGGCCTGGTCTTGACTCCCATCTCTGCCACTCACTATCCATTACTCAACTGCAGGCCAGTCACTTAAACTTTCTTGGTCTCAGTTTACTCATGAATGAGAGGATGGGACAAGGTGACCTCTCAGGTCCCTTCTAAAGCTATGATCCTAAGACCCGAAAAGGCTTGGGGCCTCACATCAGGGGGAAACATCAGACCCCAGCTTTGCATGAGTCTCCTATGTTACATAGTGAATCTGGAAAGAAGAAAATAGAAGGAAGGAAAAAGTTGCTGTTAGGACCGAACTGTTTTAAAGTGAACCTTGACATGGAACAATGGAGTGTGTTGAATTTATGAGTCATGAGACCTGGGTTGGAATCCTGCTCTGCCACTTGCGACCTGGCCGAATCCCTTCAACTTTCTGGGCCTCAGGTTTCTTCTCTTAGAATGAGGGGGTTGGGCTTCTGAGGTACCTTTCAGCTCCAGATGGAGGATCTAAGGATCCCGACCAGCTCAGGAATCCACTGGACAACCTTCCTGACTGCGCTTGAACATCTTTAATTCTGAAGGCAGACTGGTCTCCTTTCCAGCAGTTCTAATCATTACAAAGGTTTCTGATACTACTGCTTCCTGGGGACATGCGAATATTAACAAGGGCTTCCAGTTAAGTGCCTTATCTCTGAATGAGTCTATGCTCCCTTTTGTGTGAGTTGGAGGCCCTAGAGGACAAGGGCTTCCTATTCCAGAATCCCAGAGGGCAGCAGCAATCATGATTTTCTTATACCAGGAGCCACTCTGCATCTCAGCATATGCAGGAGTGTCCTGGAAAAGCTGTAGGGAGGTTGTACTCAGTACTCTGAGGACTTTGTGACTTCAGATACAAAGAACAGTAAAAGACAGTCCATGCTTTCAAGAAGCTCATGATCTAATGGACCGAACAAAGGCAGGCAGGAAGGAAATAAGCATTTATTAAGGGTTTACTGTGTGCCAAGCACTGTGCTGATCACTTTACAAATATTATCTCATTTTATCCTTGCAACAACCCTGGGAGGTAGGTGCCAGTATTATGCACATTTTATGGAAACAGAGGCAAACATAGGTTAAGTGACTTATCCAGGGTTGCACATTTTTCTTCACTTCTGTCACATGACCAGCTCATCTCTCTTTCCATCTTCTCTCCCCTGGTGATGGACTCCATGCTCCTCCCAGAAACAACAGTCCAGGTTGTTAATACCACATGTTCCACAACTCTTGTTTGGCTTCCAGTCATGGGATACAGCAGACTCCAAACTATTCAAATTATGCATTGCCCAGGGGGCCGGGGAGCTTCTGTGGATGGATGCATATGGGCCTGGATGGGCATTAAGGAACCACCAAGAAGAAAATGCACGAGTGAATTGATTTTTCTGAACTGAATTGGATTTCCCCCAATAGTTTGAATGACAACTTTATAGAAAAGAATCCTAGAAAGTTAGAAGTAACTTTAGGGGTCTGGTGGCCCACCCACCCTTTTGTATAGATGGAAGAGTGGATGCGAAAAGGAAAAAATGACTTTCTTAATATCTCAATGCTAGCTAAGAGTAGAGTTCAGACTTTATTTTCATTAATAGTCAATTGCCTGTTACTCCTAAAGGACTTTAGATAGATTTAAATGTTTTGCATGTTAGCCTACCCCCCAGACTATCACTGATCTGTTAAACTCTCAATTTATTGATACTTGAAAGAATTCTCTATTTGTAAAGAATCTTTGTGTAATATTCACTATAACTCCTATTTTTTGTTTGTTTGTTTCATCAGTTCCTTTAATACTGTATTTTTGTAAAGAGGAATCCTGGCCTGTTCAACCTAGTCTGTGACTTCAATGAATGGCAACTGCGTCTCAGACACCATTGGGTTGTGTCATAGAATGTAAGCTTTTGAGGGCAGGAACTGCTTTTTTTCCCCTTATAGCCCCAGAATTCGTAATAATACTCAGAACATGGTAGGTCCTTAATAAAATTATTCTGTCTTTAGCAGTCCAGACTGACCTTTAGCCCTCTACAAATATACCCTTCTAAGCTAAGCAGATGCCGGGCATTTTTGAGTCCACCAATCCTAAGTACGCTGGATTGGAATGTTCATCACGGGTGCTAAAGTCCTTTAAGGGCTCAGTGCGCTGAATCCATGCTGTCATCCATCTTTCTAGATATTTGTGTTACACACTCTTTCCCCTTCTCTCTCTGGGGAAGGGGGCTGGTCTAATCCAACTCTTATTAGGGCTACCTTTAAATATATACTTTGGTAATGCTACTAATGGTGGTTTCCCTCAATTAAGTATATTTGTTTGTATTTTTAAGTTGAAGGAAAAAGGGTTGTGATCTATTTCTGAGATTAGAAGGGGGAGCTTTATCCTCCTCTCTCAAAGGTCCCAGACTACTGTGGATCTCTCTGTTCCCCACTCTACTCCCTGCGTAGTTTCCTCCTTGTCTGTACACTGACATTCTACTCCCCTATCCCCATGCTAACTGACATTGTGTAATGTTTCATAGCTTGTATGTGATGTCAGTCACAGTGCCTCCTTTGGTCTTCATCCTGATCCCACAAGGTAGACAGTTGTACTAAGCCTGCTTTTAAGAACAGGAAACCAAGGGTCAGGGAGGGTAAAGGAAGTGTGCTGATCATAGCTCTAAATGTCCAAGATACAGTTTGAGCCCGTGTCTTGCTGATTCCAAATTGAATCCTTTATCTATTAGGCTAATGCTATTCTTATGAGAGTAATGTGGGGAAGGACAGATCCATGTTTGTTTATTGATACAGTCCCAGCATAATGTCATATAGCTGGAGGTGAAATGGACCTCAGATGATGCGTAGTAGTAGTAGTGTAGTAGTAGTAGTAGTAGTAGTGTAGTACTAGCAGGAGTAAGCAATGGCACTTATATAGTCTTTTAAAGCTTGAAAATGCTTTATAAATATCCCATTTTATCTCCACAATTATTGGAAGGTTGTTTTTTGTGTTTTTTTTTTTAATCTTCACAGTATCCAGAAGTTTAGTGCTATCATCATCTCAGTTTTATAGATGGGGAAATTGAGCCTATAAAGCATATCAAGTCTAACCTTCACCTATTACCTAGGAGGAACCTGGCACTCATTGAGGGTAAATGATTGCCAAAGGTCGTGCACAGTGTCTGAGGTGGAATTTGAGCACAGGTCTTCCTGACTCAAATCCAGTGCTCACTCTATACCATCGGGGGTTCCCTACCCATTGGTGAATGCTACTGAGTTGTCTTGCCTGTTGTTCCACCTTCCCATGAATCATCCCAGGAAACGCAGCCAGGCTGTAAGACGATTCATCCAAATGCTCCTAAAGGGTCTTCTTGGAGGTTTCCACTTTATTGAGAGTCAGCCTGGACAGAAGTGGCAACTTCATTTCCCTCTCTGTTTACTGGTCAATAGCAGAGCGGAACCTCAACACAGGATAAAGCCACCCACAGGAAGCAATGTGGCTCCTTGCTCCTTTTATTTTCCCAAATTATTTGGGTTTCCCAAGAAAGACTGCCCCCTTTTTCTGGACTCTTCAAGAAATAATTGCCCCTCCCCTCATACAAGAGCTACACATTTCCAGGGCCTCCAAGCAGCAATACCAACATTTTGTTTGTTTTGATAATGTGCTGCGTCAGTCCTCAGACGCCCAGCACATTTTTCATTCCTTTCAATGAAAGAGATACTTCTAAGGAGGCAACAATCCCACCCGTGTTCAGCTGCTGTTGATGCTGGCGATGGGGGAGCTCTTGGAAGGATTTTTTCATATATAAATAGGCTCATCTAAAGAAGTTTTTCCCCCCTTCAAAAAGCTAATATGAAAAGTAAACCACCAGCAAGATCAACAGCAGAGAGAGT